TCCGTGTCCGTGAGCGTCAACAGAAGCAGACTGCACACCTTTCTCCTGCAGAAGCCAGTGGGTCTGAACCTCCCACATCCTGGTGAGCAGTCAACCATTTAACCACTGTGCCACCTCAGCCCACTCTACTTTTTTCAAAGATGCAACCTAACCCACTGCCGTGGAGTCGGTTCCGACTCTCGGTGCCCCTAGAGGGCAGAGCAGAAGTGCACCGTAGGATTTCCAAGGCTGTCATCTTTACGGAAGCAGACTGCCTCATCTTTCTCCCACGGAATGGGTGGTGGGTTCGAACCACCGACCTTTTAGTTAGCAGCCCAATGCTTAACCACAGCGCCACTAGAGCTCCTCCCATGAACACACATCCACAAAGACAGACTAAATGGCAAGAGCCTCAGATGGTACCCCTCTGCTCATCACTGAGTAAGACTGAGTGCTTTTCACTTTTATCTAACTGTTCTATTTTTACATTTCCACAATGCATATGGACTATATTCTTTTACAACCAGAAAGGAACAGGGCCAATTTTTTTAAAAGAATAAAGTAAGTAACCTTTGTGACCCCCCCTTAAAAACTGTGAAAAATGTTAAGTATAAAATATACTAGGGGTTTTGAGATTAGCTTAAAAAGAAAAACTAAAACAAAATGTATAATATCTCTCCTAAGTAATTAAACTTTCCTGAAATATCTTCTTAGAGAGCAACTAAAAACACAAGGAGGAAAAGCATCAGTGAGCGACGTGGCTGCCCCACCCCCTGCCGCACTCCTTACCGATCAGCAATGCTTGAAGGCTTGTCACCAATGGGCACCAACATTCCACCCCACAGAGAGGCCGAGATGACCTAGTGGAATAGAAGCAGTTGTTCCATCAGATGTTTTGGGGGTACTTTTAGAACATGCAACTGTAATGCTCAGTAAGATGTACTGGACACAAGCCAAGTCCCTGGGTGTGGAAATGTCAAATGCTCAACTGCCCACTGAAGGGTCGGAGTTCAAACCCACCCAAAGGCTCCTCAGAGGAAGGAAGGCTCACAGCCATTGAAGGTTCCTTGGGCACAAGTCTGCTCCGTACCACACGAGTCAGAACCAACCTGCTGGCAAGCAGCTTGCAAATAAGCAAAAGCCAGCCCCAAGGCCAGGGAGGGCCCGGCTTCCGGGGACCCAACGAGAAGGGACCTCAACTCGCACCAATTGCGAGCAGGGCCCGGCTTCTACCTGACCCGACAAGAAGCACAGTGGGCAGGACGAGCCTGGCCTGACGTGAGGTGGACCAGGGCCTGGATGCCCGCATCTGCTCATGCCGCTCACACTTGGCCTCGAACGCGGGAGGACTGAGGCCAGAGCGTGAGGCTGAAAGGAGGGTGATTACAATGCTCCCACAGTTAAGAAGTCTGACCCCCGGGACACAGCATGTCGGGAACAGGTCAAGGGGCAGGGCCCTAACATTAGGTCCATGATCCAGTCGTCACTCCCACATGGTCCAATAACACCCACTCGATGCTGGAAACCACAGCGTGGCCCCCGGGCTCACACACGCCCTGTGCTGTCACCCGTTGGACCACCTGCCCTCTCTGGAGCCCTCCAGGCCCCTGCTCCCTGTGTCCCTGTCTGCAGTGTCTGCAGGCCTTGCAAAGCCCTGCAGCCCGCAGAGCTGCTCAGACACCCTCTCCCTGTACCTGCAGCAGGGAGGACAGCTGACTCCCGGAGCGGAACTGGCAGCGCAGGCCACACCAGGCATTCACACAGCCTCCAGGGACATCTACTCGGAGCCTGCCGCCAACGCAACACAACAGGTGCCGCGCACTCGGAGCCCTCTCGGAAACATCGCCCCTCGGCAGCCTCAACGCCGCTCTGGGCGGGGCCAGAGAGCGAGCCACAGGGCAGGCTGGCCCTGGGCGGACACCCGATCCCCGGCTTCGACCGCATCCTGGGCGGAGCTGACAGTGGCCCGCACAGCTCACAGGCTCGCGGTACGATGGCCTGGCAGGCCTCAGCACCACCCGCAGCAGGACCCAAGAGGAAGGGAAGAGCTCCTGGCAAAACAGGGCCTCCCCCCTAACTCTCCCAGCCTGACACGGTGCTGGTCAGGCACTTCCCCTCGGAACCAGCCAGAACCACCCCGTGCTTCCTATCCCACCTGCCTCTCGGACCACAAGAAGCCCAAGGGTCCCCAGTCAGCCTCCCCGGCCACCACCGTCTCCTAACTCGCTCCTCCAGCCATCTCCTCCTTCTCCTCCCTGCCCCGTCACGTCCCTACTGCTCTCCTCACCCAGTGGACCCACGGCCCAGGGTTAAAATCCACCAACTTGAATTCCCCTCAACCCCATCTCCTCCCAGGCTGGGTAAACGTCAACCCTCCCTCCTGAGGGTGCGCCTGCTCGGCTCAGCGCACTGAGAGACACCATAATGCCAGGCGCTGGGGGTCCTCACCGCGAATCTCAAACAGGCTCTGAGACCAGCCCAGCCGTCCGGTCCCTTCCCTCCCTGCCCCCTTCTCACTCTCCCTCCCAGGTGTGACTTCATCCTGCCCTCTCTCCTGACCCTCCAACACCTCCTCCTCACGCCCCTCTCAGCTAAGGCCCGACTTCCTACTTCACTGAAAGACCCAAGCATGGGGGGGCGGGGAGCGCCACCCACCAGCCCCACCCCCACCCCATACAAGGACTTTCCCCTCCCCTCAACTGCCCCGGAATCTCCCCTCCACACCGACTCCGCCCTGCCCTGACCCCCTTCCCCTCATCTGGGTGCTGCTGCTGTGGAGAAATCCCCACACCCCTCTGAGGGAACAACCGGGCCCCGGTCTACGTCACAACACAGCTCCTGCGATGTTTCCCCTCCCCAGAGTCAGACTGCCCTCTACTGGATCATACTAAGGGATCTGGTGGTGCAAGGGTTAGAGCACTTGGCTGCTAACTGCAAGGTCGGCAGTTTGAACCACCAGCCTCTCTGCAGGAGAAAAATGCAGTAGCCTCCTTCCACAAAGACTGACAGCCTTGGAGACCCTGTGGGCAGTTCCACTCTGTCCTCTAGGGGCGCTGTGGGTCAGAATGGACTCCACGGCAGTGGGTGTGGTTTGGGCTTTGCTTCCGTGAAGACTGACAGCCTTGGAGACCCTGTGGGCAGTTCCACTCTGTCCTCTAGGGGCGCTGTGGGTTGGAATCGACTCCATTGCAGTGGGTGTGGTTTGGGCTTTGCTTCCACATAGACTGACAGCCTTGGACACCCCATGGGGCAGACCTTCTCTGTCCTACAGGGTTGCAAGGAGCCTGAATCAGCTCAAAGACGGGTCTGGCTGGGTTTGGATTCCGATGAGCACACAAACGTGCTGGCGCAGCTCTCCATCCTAAGCAAACCAAGCCCCTGGGCCCTGAGGCTGCCACCCCGTATGAGCACAAAGGCATGGGAGCCCATGGCCTGCCCTCCTGTCCTGCACAGGGGAGTCGCTGTCTCATAAGCTCAACGCAATCCACGTGCTGTGATGACCAACCCTATAGCACCAGCCCCGACCGCTCCCCTCAACCCCACCCAATGTCTCACGTGTAAACTAAGCCTGTCATCCAAGCCTGCTCCCCTCAGACCACCAGTCTCCTCCACCGAGCGTGTAAGTGCACTCTCTGGACACTTGGGCTCAAGACCTTGGCGTTAGACATGAGTCTCCTCCTCTCACTCTCACGCACGATGGCAAGGAAGTTCTGTAGCTTTGTCTTCAGTCCCTCAGGGCCTGTGTCTTCACGCCCCACGGCTCATCCACGCCACACCTCTCCTGAGTACACCAAACAGCCCGTAACTGGACCCTGGCCTCACCCCACTCTCACCCCTGCCCTCATCTCTGGCTCCACCCTGCCCACAGGGCAGCAAATGTGATCCCTTAAAGCACATGCCACATCACCTCCGTCCTCCTCTCAGAAACACTGGTGACTGCCACTCTTGGACAGAGGGGCCTAAGGGTCCTCACCACGGCCCCCCAAGGCCCCCTAAATCTGGCCCTGACCTCTCCTTCGTGGCCTCCGCTCTGTCTCCTCCTGGAACACGCTGGGCGCTCCTGCCTGGCCCGTGCCCTCTGGCCTCCAACAGTGGCAGGAGGACGCGGGAAACACATTCCACCCGCAGCGACCCAAGGGCGGAGCAGGAGTGGTGACAGGCCATTTGAAAATAAGCCATCTAGAAGCGCTGACGTGACTACGGCAACTTGAGAGTGAAAACTCTCAAGTTCCAGGCCAGTAAGGACACTGGCAGAGAGCTAGCTGCCCAGTGTCCCCGTGTGCTGGGAAGACTTGGGGAATAAGCCAGGCGTCCCCTCAGCCTGGGCTCCACTGACAGGTCAGAATCCTGTCACTTACTCATTCCCTGAGTCAATGCAGAGAAACTAAACCAAATCAGATTAAAGACTAAAAAATACAAAACAAATCCTGGAAGCACTGAGCCCCGCACACCAGGCAGAGACTTGGCACTTCCATGGAAGTGAGACAGGCATGGACATGTCCTCAAACCACCTTTGCCGAAGGCCCTGACATGGTGCATGGAGTAGGTGCTCAGTCTGGTCCTATGTGAGACAACTAACAGAGACGTGGCAGCCACTCCTCCCAGAGTGACATCACTCCAGGCTAGAGAGGCAAAGACACAGGCAACTCCATGTTGGTTGCCAGATACTCACTGAATCCAGCATGAGCTGTTTATTCAACTGAAGCTCGAAATCTTCTTTGAGGAAGCTCACGTCTCCGCCAGTGTAGCCCGCCAGCTCCTGCAGGAAGAGTCTGCAGTCAGGGGGAGCGAGCAGCCCGCCCCAGGCCACGCCACAGCACGACTGCTGTCACTAACTCATCCAGGGTCTGGAATGTTTAAAAAGGCAACCGACCACATCTGTGTTCTGGAAGCTACATTCTCATTGTTCTAGAAAGCTCCAGAGAGCTGAACAAAGGGATGAGAATGTCAAAACTCCTGACCGACCAGAGCGTGTTACCCCCACGGGTGAGAGGACACCGGCT